CGTGGCGGCTGTGGGGCTCGTGTGGGCCACTGACTGGCGGCTGATCCTGGACTGGGTCCCCTACGTCAACGGCAAGTTTAAGAAGGACAGCTGAGCTGCCGTCCACCTGCCTCTGGTGAGCTCCCTCTGCCCCAGCCCTGGGAGGGGTAGGGGTGGAGGCTGACCCCCCGGGCCTGGGCCCCCGCCACTCTGTCCACCAGCCTCACCTGCTTCGCCCCTCCCCGCCAGGTGCACCAGCGCCCGCGTCTGGGCCTCAGGACGGACCCGAGGACGTCCCCTGCACGGCTGGAGACTGTTCTGTCCCTGGGAAGGGCCTCGCTATTCCCTGCGCCTTGCATTAAACTCGCCTGTGCACCTGCGCTGCCCGGGTCTTGGTGTCGCTGGGACTGGGACGCAGGCTGCAGGCCCGGAGCTCAGGCAGCCCCGGCCCCTGGCCCCCGAGGTGCCACCTGCAGGCGTCTCCCAGGGGCACCAAAAGTCACGGTAGTACCCACACATGTTAGTAGGCCACTCCTGTCTTAGCAAGTTCCCCAGGGCCAGCAGGTGGCCTGCAGGTTAATGCGCTGGGTCCCAGTTCAAGGCCCGGCCGAGACCTGAAAGTCATGCTGTACACATGTGCATGCATGCTCGCAATCCCAAGGGAAGGGTGGGGAAGGCGTCGTGGCGTGCATCCCCTTGGGGTGATTTCTCACTGTCCCTCTCAGATGCGCACACGCGTCCTATGGTAAAACAGAAAAAGTTGCCCATAAGCGAGTGCTCGGCCACACCCCTCACCTTCCCGTCTCCGGGGGTGGTCCAGCCCAGGGCCTCACGAGGGTGCAGGGGCTGCCTCCAAGGCTCCTGGGCTGAGGCCTCAGCTCCCCGCGGCCCCTACGGAGGCAGCCCAGATCCTGGCAACATGGCGGCTGGGGTCCTGGGGCAGGGCGGGGGGGAGCCCCGTGAGTGTGACCTGGCCCCAAAGCCTGCCTGCCTTTTCCCATGGGCTGTCCCCGAGAGGTGGGAAGAGGGGACGCACAGCTGGACAGCTGTTGCAGGTGTGACTTACCGTCTTCACTCGCTCTAGGCACTCACCAACAGTGGCGTGGTGTGGCGTGGGAAGGCAGGTGCCGGGTCCGGAACGAACTGCAGCTGGCTACAGAGGGGCCCTACGCTTGAGCCTGCCCCGAATTTTTGCTTTTTCTTTGTAAAGAGATTTTTGATATAGGATGCATGCGCTTACCAGGCAGACAGAATGAGAAATCACCCCCAGGGGGACGGGCACGCCGCAGTCCCTCCGTTCTCCTCTCTGGGTCGTGAGCACGCACACACGTGCCCGGTGTCATTTAAACCCACCGGGTCCGGGACTCAAACCGGGACTGACTACATGGGAGTCCAGCGACATAGTCGTCATGCCACCTGCGGGTCCCCAACACAGTTTATCCCCCGAGAGCACGTGCACCCCACAGGACCTCAGCACCACGATGTGTCCCGCCTGCCCTGGTGCCCGTGTTGCACCACCATCGCCCGAGCCATCGTCCAAGGGGACAGGGACCTCCCCAGGGCTCCCACCTGGCTGCCACTTGGAACATTCTAGGGCAGGCTGAGACCTGGGGAGGGAGCCTGCGCCACCCAGGGCGGAGCGCTGCCTTGCCGTGTCCCTGCCGCTGTCCCAGAGGTCACGCCATCTTCCGGGGAGCCCCACAGCCCGACCAATACTGGCCCTGCTGCCCGGGCCCTCCGAGCGCCCCCCCAGGGAGCCCTGCTTCCTGACCCATCCAGCGCCAGCACCCCTGTGCCCCAGCAGGTGTCAGGGCCCTTGGGGGCATCTGGAGACACCGGTGGTGTCACAGTGGGGAACCCTGCAGGGATGGGCAGGGCCAGGGCAGTCCCAGCACCTGGGGATGTCAGGGACAGTGCTTACAGGCCCTCCAGTGGCACCCAGGGCCAGGTGGGGACAGCTCAGGCCAGATTCCCTAAGGGGGTCCTTGAGGCCAGAATCTCGACCCACCACATCGAGAGGGTTACTGTTGGAGAGAAAACCTAGCTCAGAAAGCAGGTGTTGGTGACCCTGCAGGCTGGGGCCCAGCGAGGCCACACCGGGGCTGCAGTACACTGCTGGCCCACACCGCTGGAGGACTGGCAGGAGTCCCAGCATGTCTCTGAAGCCGTGCCCACAGACCACAGCCATGTGCCTGTTGGGTCAGGGCAGTGGGACTGAGCCTGCTCCAGCGGGCATGGACCCCAAGGACAGGAGGCTCAGTGACCTCACAGGAGCGCCCCGGGGTGGCCACAGCCACAGAGGGAGAAGTGACAGCTTGGGACTGGGAAAATAGGAAGTCCTGGAGATGGTGGGGCTGGCAGGGGGCGTGGTGGTTAAGGGCACTGGACTCCCACGTGCCAACCTGGTTCAAGCCCTGGACCTGGTGGCTTACTGTCTCAGTCATGCTATCCCTCCCTTGTCAAATCTAAATCGATAAAGTTAAATAAAACAATTCTTTAATCCCTGCCAGTCTGCACTGATGGGTGTGTTCTTGAGTTTCAAGGGCCAAGGTTAGTCACATGAGAATGCACCCCTTTCCTGTGCCTCCAGGGTTCTGGGCCCGCTGCAGCCAGTCCAGAACCCAGACAGGTGGCCTTGTAGGAACACCAGGCTACAGAACACTGACTAGGGGTCATGGGGCGCGGCTTTTCTTCTTGCTTTGGGGTGTGTGCACTCGTGGAGAGGGGACAGAGACAGGCCACCCTCGGGGAGGCCACCACGATCTCCGGCCTGGAATTTTTAGACACCCACCCCTGGTGTGTTTCAAGACCCCAAGTCTGGGACTCGAACCACGACACCTGTTGGCCTCTGGAGCACGACTTTAACTGTTACATTTGTTGTATTGAGTAAGAGTCACATTTTAAACTGCAATTCGGTGTTTTTGTACACGCCGCAGCAACACCAAGCTCGGTAGCCCGAGTGGTCCCATTACCCCGAATGGACACTGTCCCCAAACAGCCCCATTCCCGACAGCCACGAGTCTCACCTTCCCTGCTCTGGGCATGCCGCGCAGTGGGGTCTGGCAGTAGGAAGTCTGCATATACTCACGCCCCCACCCCAGCCTCCCGTCCATCCAGCACCCCATGTCGGCAGAATAACGCCCCCCCCCCAGAGATGTCAACGTGCCAACCCCTGACTACAGGCAAGAGGACTTTGCAGTGGTACTAACAAGCCCCGTGGTGGGATATTACTCGCCACCGTCCATGGGCCCCATGTCGGCACAGGGTCGCTAAGGGAGCCTTCCCCAGCTGGAGGAGGAGGGGACGCAACGGCCGCAAGGCAAGCGTCCACCTCGTCCTCTGCACCTGCCCTGGCCCTGTGAGCAGGCGGCCAGCGGTGGGCAGGGCCCTCCGTCTCCGTCTCAGACCCCTCGGCCTGTGGGGAGCAAGGAACGGCCAGAAGTCCATGGAAAGGTCCTGGACCCCTCCGGGGTAGAGTTGGTTGTCAGGGCAGACTCCTGGATTTGAGTTGTCAAAAGAGGCGCTGGGCGGAGCTCAGAGTATGGGGAAGTCCCACTCCCACCATGCCCCCGCAGACTGGGAAACAAGGGCGTAGGGTGATCTGGACACTGGACCTGGCCCGCGCGCATGCGCCCCCAGCAGGTGCCTGGGCCGCGCAGGGAGCGACCCGGGCGAGGGCGTGGGTGCCGCCGCAGGTCCCTAGCACGGCTGCGCGCGCGGAGAA